AAGGGGATTAAACCTAGGGGGAAAAATGTGATTGGAAAAAGATGATTAAATGAATGGAAATGCGAATCGCCTACTAAAAGCTTACCCACTGCTTGTAGCAATCAGCACTCTGAGTCAAACACCATAAAAAGATGCTTGTAGCTTCCTGAGAAAGGGCAGGGATCCCTGCAGACAGAAGCTACTTCTCATATACCTGAATAGAAAAGGAATCAAATACACACGATTTCACTCCAAATCCAACAAATTACCTTCTGCAGCTGCTTTCACAGTCACAGCCTGTATCTGTTGTGATACTTGTTTCATTGCCTTACTACCAGGAGAACCCGCAAGAGCAACCTCTTTCAGAACTGGGTAAATCGCCTCAAATCTTTCCGTAGCCTATCACGAATATTATTTAAGAGATTTAGTGGAAATATATAGAAACAATATTGTCAAAGTTCTGCAAACAATCCCTACCTTAACTCTTGCAGAAGTTGGAGGAAAAGTAACATGCAACAGTAGCTCAAGTGCTGCAGGTGGAATCAGGCGCTCCCCCTTTCTAACAGCACCGTTGATTAAGATACCACGAGCTTTTGGTGCAGCCAGAATTCTGAGAATAAAGTTTCACAAACTCTTTTCATTGAGTGGATACAAAAACCGTCATTGAGATAGAAAAGACATAATATGATGCAAGTGTTTGAAGGTATCAAAGGGTTCAAACCTTTCCACAACCTGCAAAACTAAGTCCCTTGTCTGTGGATTAGACCCTGATTTTCCTCCAAGTATTGGTAACATAATATGTACCCATAAATACAACCCTAAACCTAAATCTCCTTGAGAGGCCTACACACAAGGATTTATCTTCAGCTAATTCAAAGTGCAAACGGAATAAATTAAGGGCATCAGATGGTAATCTGGATCCTGAAATGTTCCTACCTGAACAACCATCCACGCAAGAAGTGGAAGCTTATCTTGTCCTTGGTACTTCACGTTTTCTCTCAATTTTGGCAATAATGTGACCAGTGCCTCTGGTTTCTTGCGTAATACAATTGCCAAAGCCAAAAACATAGCAACCTGCAATAATCGTAAGTAAGCAAAAGGTTACCAGTAAACCAGCCTAACCAAAAACTTTAAAACTACTATGTGTCACCAAGTTTATCAATCACAAATCTACCGCCATTAATCTCTCAATGCATAGATCCCAAGGAAAAAGAAAAAAAAAAAGAAATCCTAAAAAATATCTTAAGATCCCAGCAGACAGTATTTTTCTCCCATGTAACAAAAGATTTTGTCTAACACAAACAACAGGCACATTCTCACACGCGAAAAATATAGTGGAAGGAGGCATCAAATGTGTGTATCTACCTGTGATTTTGAAGAAGGCTGTTGACCCCCTTTCTTCGGGGCCTTAGATCCTGGTTGTTGGGTTGCCAGGTCAGCAAGAATTCCATCCAAAGACCACAGCACAAAATTTCCTAATGCCTCAATGGAACGCTGACTGACCCAGTCAACTGATGTCTTGTAAACAGACTCAGATACATAGGAAACAGGTACCTGTGCATCAGAATAATCCATTAGTGGATTTGACACATCCGTGGAAACCTAAACAAATGAAGCATCAAAAACTGCCAGAACATATGCAGCTGGTGTAAGACACCACTTTTGCATATGAATATAAGAAACGGTTCGGAAAAGCCCAGCAGTCCAGGAATGCTGGTTATTAAAGATAAACCACACAATTCTGTTCCAAAAGGAAGAAGAATCTTGCTTTCGACTATATAAAAACGACAACCGTGTATTTTTTTTTCTTTTTCAATATTAATTTTGCCCTTTTTTCATTATCCATGCCATTTCAGAAACACTGGTTGCATACCTTTTGGTAAAAAAATGCCTTTGCTTTAACTATGCCACTCGAGAAATGCTTTCACACATCACATGTACTAGATGTTTCTAAGGACCCACTGCTTTCAATGAACAAAATCAGCCGAATTATACCAGCATTGGCATACATATGGGATTAGGCCAACACAGACTAATTCCAAGCTCAACTCGTAATTTGGACTTCTAAGAATTCAGAAGAAATACCATTCCACGAAAAGCTTATATGACAATTGGTAGGAATTGCCTCAACAAACAATACCATTAGTTTAAATAAAAAACCAAAAATTCCCCCACAACAATGACCATACAAATAAAATATGCAGCCTAGCGTGCAGCTACCAAAGGATGCTTTCAAATAATATTTGTAAAATTCACACATCTAACCTAAAATTCACACATCTAACCTAAATTGTGTGGGTTTACACCCATTTTTATACCATTGAGCTTAAAAGCATAGAAACCCATCCACAGAAAAGCACATAATCTTGACAAACTTACATCAGCAAGTTTCGCCACTGCAGACTCCCGGAACAACTTGAGCCATGGAAACTGTGATGCAGTCACGGCGGAAAATGCACGGCCAAAATAATCTGCAAACCTCATCAATTGAATATCTTGTTGCCCTTCAAACGATTCCTATTGACACATAAATCCATAAATCAAACCAATTCCAACCAGAAAAAAGCATATAAATTTATAACGCTAAAGGGGAAACCAAAGAAACTGAATTTACGGAAACACTGGACAGAAAAGTGTCCAGATCATCGGCGTCAATCTTGGTAGCGGCCTCCGCCACAGAGACCTTAGGCTTCTTAACCTTCTTCGGCTTTTTTGTCTTATTGACCTCCGCGAGATTATTCTCCTTGGCGTCGCTACTGCCATAATCGTCCTCGTAATCGTCGTCATCAGCCCGATTCTTCCTCGACCTCACCTGGATTTGATCGTCATCGTCATAATCGGCTGCAGCTGCCCGCTGTGCCTCCAATTTCCGGCGGCGCTCCTCCGCGTGCTTCTCCAAACCCTTAAAGACGCTGTCTTTGTCGGATCCGTTGGGAAGGACGAGCCTGGATGACGAATCTGGCGCCGCTTTATTAGCCTGAATTTTGCGCTGTTTTTTGGCGTAGGAGACCTTCTGCCAGCCTTGGTTGTTGGTATCCTCGGCGAGGTGAATTGGGTCGGAGTGGAATGAAAGCGATCTATCGTCTTCCATTGAAGGAGCAGGAAAAATGAGAAATATCGACGGGATTATGTTTAGCCTTTGGCAGAGGTGAGAAAGAGTTGCGATCGGAAAAGGACAAGGGAATGAAGTTGGTCGGAGAACGGAGTAAATACTAAATAATGATAGTTGACTCTTAAGCGAATTGACCTCCGTCTTGCTAACAACTACGAAAATACCACGAACTAACTTACTTGGGATGAGTGGATGACTATTTATGTAGAAGCTCCTATTTTTATGGTTTTACGTATCTATTCATATATAAAGAGGGAATGATATTTGTTTGAAAAAATCAACTTAAAAATTAATAAAAAAAGATTTCAATTTCTGCCTAAATAAATATTATAATGAGAAATTTTTTTGGTAAAAATTAAATCTGCCCGCCTTTAACCAATTCAAATATTTTTTATATTTTAGTTATTGATTTTAAGTCTTATCTATTTATCCAATCCGATTTTTATAAGATTTGGTTAGATTTTGTTGTCAAATATTTGTATATATCTTAATTAAATCATTCCAAAATCATTTCTAACTAAAATAACGTATGTTATAGAATTCTATCTATATAAATACATTTGTTTATCATCAGATCCAAAAGTTCACGATAAAAATTCATACACAGATATATCGACATACGGAGAAAAAAAAAATGGCATCTGTCTTTGGTACACAGATATTTTCCCGTATCATCTTCTCCCTTTCTTTCATTTTCCTCTTCTTCTACTTTCGCAGCATTCAGATCCCCAATTCTTCTTCTCTACAAATCCAACAATCAACACCAAAAATCCGATCCCTGAACAAATTCGCTCTCTTCCTTACACACTCAACTCTTTAAATTCCGAAATCAAATCTCGGTCACTCGCGACTGCGGGGATGCCGGCGAGGAACTTGAGAAGCAGTCGACGGCTACAAGAGTGGCTTTCACGTGCCCCTTCCCCCGCCACGTTGCGCTCGAGAAGCAGTCGACGGCTTTCGGCACCAGCTCGACGGCTCCGGCGGCCTGTGCGAGAATATTCGAGGCGTCGACACGGAGATTGAGTCCGTCACGAGGATTAGCCCGTGGAGCCTTCTGCTTATTCACCGGTCTCGCCCTGTACCTTGTGATTTTCTCTGATTTTCTAACTTGATTTTTACTCTATTTTTCTACTTTTTTTTTTCAATTTTCATTTGGTTTTTTTATGTTGCTAAGGTGATATTGGGAGCTCGGCCAACGCGAGACGGGAGGCCATCGGTCGTTAATCTCCGGTGTGTTTTTAGGACCCAAACAGCTTCAGATTAACTACAATGGCTCTGTTTTTTTAATTTTGTTGTTTTTGTTCTTTTTTTTCTGTGTGGGCTCTGTTTTCTATGTTTTTTTTCCTAAAGATATCTGGTTCAACAAAGTATCGATTTTTCTAAAAAATCTCTGTTTTCAGACATATATACACTGTCTGTAATTAATCGGATTTAATGATTCATGTTTGTTGTTGTTTCTTGAATTCTTCAGGTTGATGTGAATGGATGGCTTGAGGCTTTTGCTGCTCATCCTCAGATTGGTGAAAGCCCTTCAAAGTCTCACAAGAGTCCAACCAGTGCTCAGTTTAGTTCTCACGTTACTTTTTTTTTGTTGGCTTCCCCCTTTTATTTTATTTTTAATGTTTATGTTAATTCAAGAATATTTCTATAGTTTTGTGGTTTATTTGTTGTTTGTTATTCAAGAATAATTCAAGAATATCTCTCACAAATTTATATACCATTTTTGTTTGAGTGACATACTAGGTAAATTATTTTTTCATGTTGATTGTTGATAAAATATTATGATATGTTCATAGTATTTTTTTAAGCTTCACAAGGCGAACGGAACGGAGAAGGTTCTGGCCGGTTTTCATGGCTGTTGGATGTGTGGGCTCCAAGCGGTTAGTTTGCTTGGGCCGGGCTGGTGGTCTAGAGGGCCTGACAGGAATTTTGGTGCAAGGCTGCTGAAGGCGGATGGACTCGACAGCATCGTTCTGGACTTTCATATCGAAGGTCGCCTGAACGGACATATCCTGGCCATAGAAGATGTTGCGCGGGGTCGGTAGGCTGGGCTGAGCGTGGGGCTGCGAGCGGGTGCCGTCGACGACAAGAGCAGCTTGTCGGAGGCGCAACTGCGTTTTCTGGTATTTTTCGGCTGAATGGAAAACAAGACGGAGCTTTTCAGAAGTCTGCCATGGTGCTTCACGGGAAAATTATGCTGCCTTATTTTCTGAAAAAAAATTTGGCAAGGATAACGCGTAAAAAAGATGGTCCCAATTTTCCGCAGAAATTTTTGGGCGAGAGAAAGCAATTGCAGTTTCGTGCCAAATTTTTCAGCTCTTCAAGTTGAAGAGAGAGAGTTTTGGTTTGACAACGTGTGTAAGTGATTAATCTGATAAAAAGACACTTGACGTTGGATTGTAATTTAGTGTCATATTAGTTAGAATTATTGTCATTATCTATAGTTCAAGATTTTTAATTATTTAATTTTGCTTATATTTTTTTTGGAAAATTCACGATGACATTTTTTAAAAATTTTCCTAAAATCACACAATTGAGTAACTAAATAATTCAATTATAATAACTAAAAAATCATCTAAACTCTTGCCTAAATATATTACTAAATATAGTAAATTTTTTGAAAAATTTTGCAATATGCAATGTGTCCGTAATTTTCTAACTACTTAACTAAAAACATGATAAAACGATAAATATCTTTTTATTTGAAATATATACGTTACTAATATTTTCGCATTAGACTCTAATATATAAAAGTGGATATAACTTTAAACAAGTTTTTATATGAAAAACTAACTAAAAATTATCTAAAATCCCGCCTAATATATTACTAAACATCATCTAATAATAGTAACTAATAATTATATAAAATCCCGTCTAAATATATTACTAAACATAATAAATTATTTTGAAAAATTTCGCAATATGCCTCTGTGAATCGTTTGAATTTTTCGATAATTTGATAAATTTAGTCAAGCATTTGAAACATATATGAAATATTTTTTCACCAACATCTTATTTTATATCTACTATATACATAAAATAAAAATAGCGTATGGTCTAATTAATGTTTTTTTTATGTTGTAATAATTTACGGTCTAATTAATGTTTTCTACGTCATTTTTTACGTTCTAATACAGATTATTCACGCATATAATTACTAATGTTTTCTCATTAGGCTCTAATATATAAGAGTGGATATAACTTTAAACATGTTTTTATAGAAAAAAAAAGTTAGTTTCACATTTTTAAAAAATAATATTTTAGACACTTTTACATACGTTAAATAATAGTCTAGGTATTCTTAATGTTTGTTGGATTGCAATATTTTAGATATTTTTAAACATAACTTGATATATGTTTTTACCCGTTCTCTATATTGAGGTGTATCTATACATAAATAAGTTAATTTTTTTAGGTGATTTCACACATATTTCTAGAATAATATATAATATATTAGATATTTTTTACATATGAACGATTTTTAGGTATTTTTAATATCTATATCTATACATATAAAAAGAGAATATGATTTAAAAAAACATTAGATACATACTAAATTTTATATAGAAAATCACATTTTATTTGTTATAAAATTTTTTCGATTGCCATTAATCTTGATTTGTAATTGCAAAATTGATAAATTAACCATATGATAAAAAGCATACCAAATTCTTTTTACCATAAAGACTTCAAATTAATTTTTAAAATCTTTTGTACTCGCAGGTTAGGTCATAATTCATTTTAATGGTCGATATCATCTTAATATTTATTTCAGATATCTATTAATATATATAGACACAATAATATTTACCTGAAATAGTCACAAAAAATCATAAAAAAATCATTTGGTTTCCCGCTTAAAATTTCATAAATACTAAACTAAGTAACTTTTCTTTTGAAAAAAATTGAAAAATCCCGCCTCTATGAAATTTGTTTGAATTTTTCGGGTATCCTAAATAAATTACAGATTCTGTGCAATCTGTTTGATTTTTTCGGGTACTCCGAAAAAATTGCAGATTTTGTTGATGTATATCTAATTGCATATGTAAAAAGACGGAATAGATTTTGTTTGACATTGATAATTCATATGTTTCCTTGCAATAATTACACGATCTTTAATTGCCATAAAATCATTGATAAATTAGAGACATTATTTGAAAAAGTGAACTTCATTTTGAATATAAAATCAACATCGGTTTTTTTTTTTTATTGTAAATTTTGATTTATATTCACAAGTTATAATTTGTTTACCAAACGTGACATTCCAATTTTTTTAGAAAAAAAAAAATATATAAATCATAACATGATATAATTTCAATCACATGAACCACCGTTTACCAAAATTCCATAAAAAAGAGATGAAATCAAATGTCATAATTTGTTTGACAAACGTTACATTCCAATTTAAATAAAAAAATGTATAACATACAACATTATACGATTTCTATTATATATTTATCAACAGTACCCATATCACATACCATATCACAACATGTTATATATTGAAAGGAAATTTAGTTTAACATTCATAGATTTATGGACTTATTTAATTAATAATTTTTTAATTCAATTTGTATATTAGATGAAATTCAAGTAACAACTTCGAAGGATGTCACATTGTTGATTGGCGTTGACACTGTTCCGGAAATTTAAGACTTTCTTATGAGGTAAAATTCAAAATTAATCGTGTATAGGGAAGTGTTTGATAAAATTAAAAATCCAAGACTTACATAAACAGTTTGAAAATTTTAATTTGTGGAGAAGAAGGTTTGGCAGAAAATTAAACCAAGAATGTTGTGTATAGAGAAGTGTTTAATAATATATAATTTCTTTTGTACTTTGTATTTCTCTCTTTTTTTTTTTCTATTACAATCAAATTATTAATTTATAAACAAAAATATTAAATAAAGTTTAGAAAAAAAAGTTTTGAGGAAATAACCCACCATACTGCGCACCGGTACTACACTATATTTCCCAAAATGAATATAGTCCGTGTATCGCAGGGGTTACATACTAGTAGGTTTTAAAGCCGACCTGGGAATTCTCTCTTTTTTTTTTTTCCCAAACGATAGAATATTCTTCGTAGCCTCAAAAAAATAAAAGTCCATACAACTCGATAGCCGAGAGATGAGAGCACCACGTCGAGGTAGGCTAGAATACACAACCAACACTAACAAACACTAACCAATCT